ATGGTCCAGTTTTGTTTTGATAAATGTCATTCTGTGTTGCATTTGTGTGTTCACCCTTGTTGAAGAGAAAATCCATCTGTGTGTTTGGGAGTTCAGTGGAACATTAGGAGAAGAAATAAAGCCCATCATCTGGGCATGGATATTGGGTCTAGGGGGAAAAATGGACCAAACATGGGTGTTGGGTTATTTTGGGACGGTGGGGGATTGTGAGGGCATAATTTAAATTAACTCTGTCTAAAATAAAGTGTAAGTGCAATACATGTGCTTTTTTATTCAAAGCTGTGAACCTTTAGAAAAAAAAAAACCACAAAAAAAAAATCAACCAAAAAAAGCACATCTTTCTTTCATGAGCCTTGTGTCCTTCCTGCCTCCCCTTCCTCCCCCTCTCCACACTTCTCAACTGACAGAAACCTGACAGTGGCCAACTTGCATGTGTTGGCAACCCAGATTTTCATTGCTGTGCTGATCTCATTTGTTGGGATTGAGGAAAGTCCTGCCCCCCTACTCCTTTTCCACCTTTGAAATTCTTTTGGGATCCAGTAGTGACCTGTGCCTCTACAGCAGGGTCTACAACCGTCTGGGATGGCACCAGATCTGTGGTCATCCTGACTCCCAGTGCAGTGTTGTTCCTCCTGGCCCTTCATTGTCCAGGTGTAACCCTCCTCCCCACCTCACTCTGGGTACAGAGATGGGTGTCCCAGGGCTGGGCAGGTGACATTACCCTTGAGCAATTGCAAAAGGAATCGGCCATCAGCTGCCTGACCGGATCCCTTTGTCCCTGCCCCAACACACATGCAGGCTGGCCACTGTTGCCTTCTGTGACTCTGCCTTGTTTTGCAGGAGCAGGTGTAGGTGTGTGTAACCTGTTGTGCATTACTTGCACTGTYTCTCTCTCTTACTTGAGCACAGGCTGCTTTTCCTAGATTAGGAAAGGGGCACAGGTCTCCTGGGGTTCCCAGGAGTGCGCGATTCATCGAGCAGTGACGGAACGGGTAGCACTCAGTGGATGGACCCTATGGGGGAGTAAGAGAGGACTGGCTCGTTTAAAGTTTATAGAYACCCAGATCTATATCCTTTAAACTTTATTATTTTTATATATAGTCAAGACAATGGCATTACCTCATAATACAGAGGCTTGTTTATGAGAGGCAAAGTAYGTAGTAAGGAGAGGAAAGGGAAATTTATATACAGATTTGATTTCTTTTGTTTGTTCCTTAGTGCAATGAAATGTATGTCCCACCACTTTAAACTCTGTGCTAACACATTCCTTTCAGCTGTATTCTTTTTTTTTTTTTTTTTGACCACCAGAGGTTTGCAAGGGGCTTATGACTGCAAAGTAGAAGGTCCAGTCTGGTTACTTAAAAAAAAACCCATTGTGTTAGTAGATTTCCATAGCTGCTTTTTAAAATCTACAATGGAGTAATTGTTTTGAAACTTGTATTTATTTTATAATTCATAACAAAATGTTTATTTTTGGTTTCCTGTTACATAGGTCATGGCAACTCCCCTTCATTCCTTCTCAAGTTTCCCCTGTAATTGCCAATACAACTTCTTTTTCTTGTTTGTTCCTTCTCCCTTTACTTTTGTTGTCCCTTCATTTGTACTTTGGAGTTTTTCTCATGTAAATTTGTACAATGGGAAATATTGTCCAGTTTGGTTAGAGAGCATGGAGACTTAAAACATACTAAAATTTGATAGCTGAATTCAGATTGAAGAAAACTATTTCAGTGTAAAGTTATTTAAAGAACTCTGTATTATATGAAAGGCAAAAAGTTCTATGTACTTGATGTGAATATGAGAATACTGCTATAATAAAGATTGACTGCATGGAAAAGTCTGAAGGAGATTGTTTATTGTGTCATGTATAATTCCTCCTCTCCACGAAGTTGGAGACGTGCAACTAAGGTGGTTAAGGGGTGTGAAAAAGTTATTTTACAATATAAATCTGGAAGGGAAAGAGAAGGAAAAAAATAAAACAAAGCAATTCCTGCATATATGTAACCTCCCTCCATTTCCTTAAACTGCCTCCTTGACTGCTGTGCTGAGCCCTAAGGCATTTCTACATCTACTATTCTGAACTTCTGTGTACCCRAGGGGAATTTTCCCTCACCCAGGGAAAAGCCTGGCACCAACTTGTCTGGGTTCTCTTATGGATAAATTCTCTTGTTTCTACAGCAATTTCCCCGTGCCTTTTCACTGGTTATTTGGCAGAGTTTTTAATGGTAAGACGTGCTATGCACTTATGGACTTTATTTCTTACATCCAACACATTCTTTATCATGCAGGCATTACAAAAGCTCATGTGTACTCAAGTAYCGCAACTCTGTCATGGTCATTTTCCAAAAATTCTACTTTAAAAAAAAATACAATTCAGGTTAGACTTGGTTTATAGTTTTATTGACAGAGGGGGACCCAGGAGCCAAAGATTTGGTTCCAGAGGCCTCAATTTGTTCCAGGAACCTGAAAGTAACAGAAGAGAAACCTTAGAACCTTTTTGCTCATCCTTTTCCCACCASGCACAGSAGGACCTCCTCAATGCTGCCTTYARMSGTAGCTGAAGYTGTTGRTTTAGAGCTGTAAGGTGTGACACAACAGCTTGAAAGACTCGGTAATTAAAGAACTGGAAACAAGCAAAACCCTTAGACAGTTAAGGGAGCATCTAGACAGATCTCTCTAGAAACGGTGCATGTCTTCAAAGTTAGATAATGCTGGGTCTACAGAACAGGATAAATAAAATTATTTAGAACTGGTAAAGGTAAGCCAGGTAAGCCACAGCTCATTACAAAGCCAGTCATTGCACTGCAGGCTTATATTGCCAAAACAGGGCGACTCGTGTCGGGCACCTGAGACGTGTGTGAAGGCGAAGGGCAGTGTGGACACTGCCTCTTGTAGCGCTAAGGGTGGGCACTGTTACCCTGGGCAGTGCACGAACACCGGGCAGGACCC